TGATTCGCATGATGATGGTGGTGATGATGATTTGTATGATGATGAAAATGACGAAGATTATAAAGATGTTTTTTTGATGATGATGATTTGGATGATGTTGATGATGATGAATATTTGCATGATGTTGATTACGATGAAGATGATGATGACGCTGATGATAATGATTTGGATGTTGATGATGTTGATGACAATGATGATTTGGATAAAGTTGATAATGTTGATGTTGATTAGGATGATGATGATGATATTGTATTGGATGATGAAGATGATGAACTTGATGATGATTTGGATGATGATTTGGATGATGATGATGATTTGCATGATAATTATGGTGATGATGATTTGGGTGATGATGATGATGATGATTTGGATGATGATCATGATGATGATGATGATTTGGATGATGATGATGATGATGATTTCTTTCATGATGATGATGATGTTTATCATAATGGTGATGATGATTTTGATGATGATGATGATGATGTTGATGATAATAATTTAGATGATGTTGCACATAATGGTTTGGATGATGGCGATGATGGTGATGATGTTGATGATTTTGCTGATGAACATTTGGATGATGATGATAATGCTGATAATGATTTTGATGATGGTGATTTGGCTGATGAGGATGATGATGATGATGATTTGGATGATGATGATGACGATAATGATGATAAAGTTGATGACGTTTATGAAGATGATTCGGATGATGATGATGATTTGGAAGATGATGATGGTGATGATGATTTGGATGATGTTGATTTGATTGTTGATGATATTGATGATAATGATTTGGATGATGATGATGGTGATGATGGTGATTATGATTTGGATGATGTTGATTTGTACGATGATGATGCTGATGATAATAATTTGGTGATGATGATTAAGATGATATGGATGATGGCGATGATGGTGATGATTTTGCTGATGAATATTTGGATGATGATGATGACGCTAATGATGATTTGTAGGATGATGATCAAGATGACAGTGATAATGGTGAATACGATTATTTGGTGATGATGTTGATGATGAGGATGATGATGATGATTTGGTTGCTGTTGATGATGATGATTATGATATTGAGGATGATGGTGTGGATGATGATGATGATTAGAATGATGATGATGATTTGAATGTTGATGTTTTGTATGAAAATTTGGACGATGATATGAATGATGATGATGATGTTGATGAAGTTGATGGTGATGATGATTTGGATTATG